TTATTAAACTCAAGAATTGGTGTCTTTTTATTTTGGACTTTATCATGTGTTAGTAATAGCCTTTTCTGTTTTCCAGGCCTTGGCGCTCATAGAGTTATATAATGCTCCAGAGGGACGGTACAAGCAAGATGTTTACTTGCTTCCCAAAAAAATGGGTAGGGATTTAAGGATTAAACAATGTTGTTTTACCCTTTCAAAGCTTGTCGGGGGAACTACTTAACAGCACTAGGATGGGAACATATTAACCTTCCACTACAGCTGTCTAACAAACAAATGAGTTAGACTCAGGTTTAATTGATTTGTTTTTGATATAAGGTAAATTGTTGTTGAGGCATATATGCACAGCAAGGACCTTTTAAAGGAATCAGGGTAGTTTTTTTAGGAGTCGATACTGTACCATGTGAATTTACTAGAATATAAACACCCTAGTAGGGAGACTGGAGGATAAGTGTTGCAAACAAATATATATATTTTACGCTTTTAACTATTTGTGTGTTTGGACACTAACACACACACACAAGGCACTGTTTTTATGCTAGTTTACGGACCAGTGGCGGGCGGGGCTTCTGGTGCCTTAGCCTTCAGTGGGACCCCCCCATCAATTTATATATATATATATATATATATATATATATATATATATATAAACCAAATGGTTTATATATATATATATATATATATATATATATATATATATATATATATATATATATATATATATATATATATATATAAATTAGTAAATGTGCATACATGTAATAAGAGCCACAACATTGTTTCTTGGACCTTATTTTTCTTGACGTTTATGCTTTCTCAGTTGTTGGGTGTGTGGTAGAGGTTCTCTTGTCATAAAACTAATAGTTGCAGCAGATGCACTTTATCACTTTAAGGAAGTCACTGCAAAGCCCATGGGAAACTGTAGAATTCCATTGATGCAGAAAACACAGCTGTATCTGTCCCAAGGAGTAGTGGACGTTCAGAGCCTTCAAAGCCTTCTCTGCAGGCCTACAATCAATCCGAAACACTAACCTACATTCACAACCTAAACCTTTCTTTTTCTTATTTTCAAATGTATACATTTATTTAAAAAAAAATCAATTCTCTTAATTTTGTAGTATTTATCTTGGCTGCACTGCTTCAATTTCAAGAAAAACGTCAAGAAAAATAAGGTCCAACAAACGCTGCGGTTCTTATAATATACATATATATGCACATTTACTGGCCTGTAGTCAAAAACTATTTGTGGAACTCTTATTAGAGATATGTTGACTTTAAAGTCTTCTGAATGTTTACAGTCTGTCTAATTTTTTTTCATTGCTTTTTCAGATGAGTACGTTGCCAGTCTGCACCTGGCCACTTTTGATGCCCATCTGACAGAGCTCACTGATGAGCAGGCAAAGTACCTGGGTTTAAATAAAAACGGACCCTTTAAGCCAAACTATTACAGGTGCGTATTTACTATACACATTTCAAATAAAAAAAAACATGCAACTTACAACACTTCCTCTAATAAGCATACATTTTAGGAAGCAACTCTTTGGAAAACTAGGATGTAGCAAATGCCTCTTCTTGAAGCTAGCATTAAAACTTTAGTAATTTGACATTCAAAATAAGGTCATAAATAACTTGATATCAATACATTATATATTTTCCTCTCAAATGAACTTCTCTCTTATTGCTTTTTAAAATGTTTGATGAAGGAAAAAGCCAAACCTCACCAAATGTATTTATTTAAACTTCTTTTTCCTTTTTGCTCCTACAGGTATTAGGCTGCCGGCACATAGAACACCTCTATATGGATCTGTATGTTTTTGATTAACCGTCCATCTGGCAAAATATATTATTGTATAATCATATAAGTATAATGTATTTTACACTATTCACAGGATGCACAAGCTATATTTAGAAAGATTTTACCTGCTGCTTCCTTTAGCTGACGCACGTGGCACTTAATCGGCTATAAAAGGTTAATGTAATAATAACAGCACTCAGATGTCTAAAAGAAAATTTATTGAATGTGTTTCCTTACCTGCTGAATCATGTCTGATAGCTTTTTCGGTAAACAGTGCCAAATGACAGCCAGAGTAAAGGGTTTGTATTAATGAAGAGGGAAAAATAGAATTAAGATAAATATGTTGTCATTTGTATATGATTACTGTATGAGATGTAATTAGGAAAGAAGCATTCATAGAATGCACCAATTAACAGCTCCCAGTTATTCTCTTAGCTGGATGCTGGATTTTTGTTGTAATGTTGATGCAGAATGGCTGTGAAACCATGTTTGGATGTGGGCTATCTTTATGATGAGTGGCGTTGATTTTTTTTTTTTTTTTTTTTTTTGCTGAAAGTGGACCAAGTGTGAGTTAAATGTCCTGTTGCTGGACTTATTTTTTTTTTAAGTTGCCTAGTAAGAGGCTTTATTATGATAACGAGAATGGTTCGCTTACAGGGTGAGCCATAGCGACTGAAATCAATCCTTTATTTACACAGGTTGTTTTGAGTACTTCTACCACCTGATGGCCAAATATAGCTCAGTGCTGCTTTAATGTTTCTATGATACTATAAAACATGTATTCATAACAGACATTCCATTGAAAGGAGAAGAGGTATTCTGATCTTTAGTAATATTGCTACTAACACAGCTAACCTGAAGATCTGGGCAAAAAGTAACTTTGGTTCCTGTGTACCAGAACAGATAGGGTTTTCTTTTTTAATGTTTAAATGATAATGTTTTCACCACCTGAGGGCATTAGCATCATTTTTATATATTCTTCTTACAAGATAAATTTAATCTGATTTTCACTATAATGGTTAATCTCTGAATCCTTTTAAAATTCCCTTTTATAATATTACAAAAAAAAACTATTTCTAGTGGTTTTAATACTTTTATGTTCCACTGACCTGATAAAAGTACAAGTCTTTTTGTTCAATTATGAGTTCACAACAGATTTGAAGCGTTTATATTTTTCATTAGACTTGTAATTAGAAAGTTCTTATTTTATGCACCAGATGACTTTTTTTTATTAATTTTTATATGCATGAAAGTTAAAAAAAGCTTATTTACAGCCAATTTCAAACCAAAGCTTGCTTAAGCCTTTTTGTCAGCAAATATCCTCTTATCATTTTTAGCCAGTTCAAAGCAGTATTTTGTGTAGCTTGTGAAAACCCAATAATAACCTTTCCCCCTCTATAATCAGATGCCGTAATTTCTTGAACTTTAAAGCTGCAGAGTTTGGAGGCTGTTATGTTTAATATGTAGTTTCATGTTTTGGAAATTTTCTAAAATAAGATAAAACTACTGTAATGTAATGTCTTTAATAGCTTATAAGAAAACAGTTTTTCCCCATTGTTTTTTGAGCTAACAGTTCCTACATGTTTGCACTGACAGTTTTAATGGCATCAAAGCCAGGGACACCCAGATTAATTGGAGAAAGCCAGGTCTGTAACCATTGTGGTTTATATTTACAGTGCTTGGTAACTAATTCAACACATGTTAAAGCTCTGACCTGAGGTAGAGCCAGCTATGCACCCAAACCCTCATTATTTTGTCTTAAGGAGTTTAATAGTTTTTTGGGCTTTCTCATAAATCTATAATAGCAGAACATTATTTTACACACTATCAACATGTTGAATGTTTTTTTTTTTTATTGTATGTTTTTCCTCAGTTTTATTCTTTTAAGCAAATAAATCTATTATATATCTACAGTATATAGTATATATATCTATTTTTGCTTAATTATAATCACAATTAATGTGTTTTGACACAAATGAATGTGAAACCCAGCTACTGTCATTGTGGAGTCCCAATGTGATGTAACGGTAGAATGTTGTTTAATTTTAATGCTAGATCCCTAAATGATTTACCCTATATTTTAAATATTATCAGAGTTTAGGTTAAGCGCTTGACAAGATCTGTTTGGAAAATCTGAATTCTGTCCTCCATTTCTTTTAATAAATGTTTGACTGTTGAAAACTGCCTGCTTGGATTATTTCCCCACACACATTGTAAAGAAGGCTTTACTAAGTGTCCCCTAGTGCACATTTTTTGTTATTGTAAAGTTAAAATTTGACAAGGCACTTCCAACTTAATGCTTTATTAATTTAAAGAACTATAATATACTTTATCAAAGTCGTACTGTTGTAAAATCTGTCAAGATGGTAACACTAGGATAGCGATAGAAATCGATATTGGATAAGTTGGTTTACTAAACTTAAAAAGGATTTATTTTTTTAGCTTTTCTAAAGTTATCTTTTTGAAATTTAGACACCTACTGCAGAAAAACACCAGGCCAGAAGTTGACCCAGAACTGGGAAGCTTCAAATCCCATTTATTTATGCAATTGTATTTTTAATATGTTTGTTTTGTGTATATATTTATATTCTAATTTGTTATTTATGAGTTTTTGACAGTGGGAGACAAGACGTCACACATTGTGACCTCGATAGAAATGTTTTTTTTTTTTTTATATATAAACTTTATTATTTACAATACACAACAATACAAAACTGCATTGTGGACATATCGCAAAACAACAAAAACCTTTGCTAGGGGGAGCATTAACAGAAAACGATAAAAGTATAATAAGAAATGACAAAATACTCTTGTTTAAAGAAAAACAGTACCAAAGGTGACAAAAATACCAGATGCCACAGTGAGTCAACACAATAAATTATCTAAAATTCCAATTTGATTGCAAGCCAATAAAGTTGTTTTTGCTTTTTTATTTGTAGAAGGTCGAATTGTAAATATATGTTTAAATTCAATCAGAAAAACTGAAAAGTCAGGTTTTTTTCTCAAAAATTTGCATTTATGAAGATGAAATTTAGCCTTAATAATTAATAAATTGATAAGAAAACTCTTCGCATTCATTCTTTCATTTTGTTGAAAACCACCTCGATAGAAATGTTAGTACATTTTTCCAAGACACGCAAACGTCACAAACTAGTTCTCGTGAGTTGATTTTAATCTCGCGAGACTACACTGCGGCTGTAAATGAATTATGGAGGTCGGTGGGAATGGTGGTGGGCTTCCTGTAAACAATAAACAGAAAGCGATGCTACCAAATAAAGGAGGCAGGGGCGAATTTCCTCGAACCCCAAGAAAAGACTCCGAGGTACGAAGGGAGACATGTTTATTGTCATGGTTTATCAGAGAGCAACGAACGAAGGCCTTTTCTCCTTTTGCCTCTGTAAAAACGGCTAGCTCGCTCGTTGTGGATTAACTCATAGTTTTAGGGTGAATATTGTAATATTAGAACCGATGGACTTTATTGAAATAAAGAGTAGCTCTGTGTCGTTTAAGCAGTGTACTTTTGTTAAGCCATTGCCAATTAGTATTTCGGATATACTTCTGAATACTTATTTGGCTGTTGTTAGCTAGCTTAAATTAGCCCATCAAAGGCCAGAGCTGCCTTTCTCTCCTTTATTGCATCAAACAGAGCGATGCAACTCTCTCTGTATAGATAAATATGTTATTTTAATAAAACACATCCTAATATGTCAGAGCAGGCGATAAAAGGAACCAGAAGGTCTGCAGAAGCCTGTCATTAGTTAATTTAAATGTCGTGTGACTAATGGGAAAATCGTCGTTAAGACCTATTTTCCGGCAAGTTTTCGGTGTTTTTCCTTCCAAATGAGCCATTAACAACCTATAGAACCCATATAACCCCGGTCAGTTTATGAGACAGTGATGCCTAACTGTAAAAACAACACTGATTTAATTTTAAATTTCGTCACGCTTATCCCACCTAAGGAGAATAAACCTAATAGTCAGGTTTTTGGAATGTGGGAGGAAGCCGTAGTACCCGGAGAGAACCCACGCATGCTCAGGGAGAACATGCAAACTCCATGCAGAAAGACCCCTGGCCGGAATTCGAACCCCAGACCTTCTTGCTGCAAGGCAGCAGTGCCACCCACTGGGTCCACTGAGCAGCTTTTTGAAAATGATAAACATTGGAATCTGTTGGTTGCTCCTGTATAGCATTGCTGTAATATACTTTTGGTTTTTCTGTGATATTTTAGATATAATTGTTAAGCTTATATTAACACACTCATGGTGTGGTACTCCAGCTGCACTATATCACCTTTCTGTCTCTTGCTGAATGGCTTTTAGGAATATGTGCTTTTTGCTGTCACACCTCTAAAGATGTTTTTAATGATTATGAGGTGTAGATCTTTTTTAAGTCTGTCTTAGGTCTTGGTCTTCTCTCTTGTATTTTTGTGGTTTGGTTGAATATCGAAAAACAAAGCTTGATCTGATCATTTCTGACCACAGCCCTATTGTTCACAGGGTCTGTCTGAGTCTCCAGATCTTGAGTTTGAGTATTCTGATACAGATAAGTGGGCTGCAGAGCTGTCAGGTATGTATGCTCTTGATTTCTAACTGCCTCTTTTTATTTTATAGAACTCAAATCATAGTTTAATATACATACATAGTGCTTCTTATTTTGATAATTATTTGCAAATATTTCAGAGCTTTACAGTTACACTGAAGGACCTGAGTTTGCTCTCAACAGAAAGTGCTTTGAAGAGGAGTTCAGAGCTCATGGTATGTAGTTTTTTTCATAACCTACCATTGGAAGATTTAAGATATTTTTTATAACATCATATTCTGGACCTCAGTGTCGGATAAGAAGTGGACAGACCTTGATGCAGCTCAGCAAAGAGCTCACGCAATGCGTCTTTTGGATGGTCTGGAATTCATTGCTCGTGAGAAGAGGCTGAAAGTTGCCAGAGCCATTCTCTACATGGCTCAGGGTCAGTACAAGTCATGCTCACTGTGTTTCATTTCATTTTCTTTTTTTCTTGTTTGTTTCACTGGAGTATATTTCTTTTTTTTTCTCAGGGACCTTTGCAGATTGCAGCTGTGAGGCTGAGGTCCAGTACTGGATGAGATATAACATCTTTCTCCTGCTGGATGTTGGAACCTTCTCTGCTCTTGTGGAACTTCTCAACATGGAGATTGAGTATGGCTAACATTTCTTAAGCTAACTTATGATTTTTCTATCCTCCGTCTCTCTGTATATCAGTCTGAATGGACCTGCTACACCTTCTACATGATCTGATAGGAGCAGAAAGGATTCATTCATCTAATATTTGATCTCTGTAGTGATATCAAATCCAAAGGGAAGTTTTGTACTTACATTTTAAAACAGACTGGGAAGGGAGAATGAGCAATGGATACTTGAGTCAGGCAAAATGTGGGATTTGGATGTTAAAAATGTATTTACAAAGCTTTGAATGGAGCAATGTTGAGCTGAGAACCATTTTCTGTTGTTCAGTAACAGTGCTGCCTGCAGTAGTGCGGTGAGAAAGCCGGCCATCTCGCTTGCTGACAGCACAGATCTCAGAGTGCTGCTCAATATTATGTATCTGATGGTGGAGACGATCCAGCAGGACGACCCAGCTGACAAACCTGAATGGAAAATCATAAAGGAAACCTTCCGAGCTGAACTGGGTAAACTTCTACAAAAAAAAAGAAAGATGCAGTCATTTTAAGGTCATGTTGAGAATTTTATATGAAACCTATTTGTAATTTGTTAATATGAAAATCCAGGTTCGCCTATTTTCAACAATGAGCCGATTTCTGTCATGCTCTTTGGAATGGTCACCAAGTTCTGCAGCGGCCATGCTCCACATTTTCCCATGAAGAAGGTGTTGCTTCTGCTTTGGAAGAGCATACTGGTGAGGGGGGTCAATTCACACTGCCTCTCTTGTATTCTTTTCGGTCTGGCATTGTGTTTTAAAATCTTTTCCCATCTGCTTCAGTTCACACTGGGAGGGTTTGAGCAGCTTCAGAGCATAAAAATCCGCAAACGTCAGGAGCTGGGTCTCCCCCCTCTCCCAGAGGACAGCATCCGGGTCATCCGCAGCATGAGGGCAGCTTCTCCTCCGGCGTCAGCGTCTGATCTCATAGAACAGCAGCAGAAACGGGCTCGTCGAGAACACAAGGTTCCAAAAACTGATTTCAGTCTTCAGTTCACGGTCTATATCTGAGTTCTAGTTGAAATCAAAGAAAGCAAATGATTAGCAAATCCTTTTTAAAATTAGTTTTGTTTACTAGCTAAACGATTTAAACTCCATGCAGTAGTTTTTCAATAGATTTCTCCAGCATAAATTGAAACGTTATCCAATAACCAGATGTGTTGGAATACATTACATGTGAAATATTACAGTTTTTGCATCAAAGCAATCTTTATCACCACCAGAACTGCACACACTGAAGCTGCAAAAGAGATTATTATTTATATTTCGTGTATCTAGACTAATGAATAAAAGGCAAATCAGTCAAATCGAAAAGTTTTTTTATTTTAAATTCACTTTATGATTAATATCTGAGCCTCTGCTTACATTCTGCGTATATTATCTACAACTTCCTGGATGTTATTAATGTTTTTTGTTTTTTACCTCAACATTTATTATGGCAGACTTAATATTGAGTGCATGTTTAATATTGATCCATTTATCTTTCCATTTTTCTGCTTCCATCAACCTTCCAATTAAACAACATAGGTTCATCTGTCACTCCCCTACAGTTGCTATGATATTATAGTCTCCTCATTGTGTCTCGCTGCAGTTTAGTCAGGGTGTGATTATCTGCTTGGTTTTTCCTCAGGCCCTGATTAAACAGGACAACCTGGATGCTTTTAACGAGAAGGATCCCTATAAGGCTGACGACTCACGCGAGGACGAAGAAGATAACGACGACAATGACAACTCTTTGGAGCCAGAAACGTTCCCTCTGGAACGGGACGAGGTGATGCCTCCACCCATTCCTCATCCACCTTCAGAGAGGGTGTCATTCCCTAAGGGGTTACCCTGGGCTCCCAAAGTCAGGTATGGCACAGTAAACCAAGATAGTTTGAGGGAAAACAATACGTCATTTATTGTTTTTATTTGTTTACAGCTGCTATACAGAGCTTGGATTTTATAGAGCTTTTTTTTTTGTGTTTTTTATCTTTTTCATCCAATAGGGAAAAAGATATTGAAAACTTTCTTGAATCCAGCAGAAGCAAATTTATCGGTTACACTCTGGGAAGGTGAGTTCCTTAATGCAAGTTAAAATAACCAAAAATGTGACATGCGTGCATTATAAAGCTGTCTTTTTGTTCCCATCCTGCAGTGATACGGATACAGTGGTCGGTTTACCGAGGCCAATTCATGAGAGCATCAAGACGCTAAAGCAGGTACTGCAACGTGATGAAGAGAGCAAAACTATTAGTGTTTTTTATGCTGTTTGTGATCACTTCATTTTCATCTTATTCTTCCAGCATAAGTATATTTCTGTAGCAGAGATCCAGATGGCAAAGGAGGAGGAATATCAGAAAACCCCTCTGTCGGTGGTAGGTGGGAATTAAATCTATCATAAATTGTCTTGAAATGGGTTAGTAGAATGCTTCTCCTTCTGTGTTTTTTTGTATTTAGGGTGAAGAGGAGGTGGAGTTGTGTGCCACAGAGCTGCTCTATCAGGGAATTCTGCCCATTTTGCCCCAGTACATGGTAAATGCTTCCTGCAGCTTCAGCTGCTGGCTCTGTTTGGTTTTGTGGGAAATTTAACATCAAAGTCTGTCAAAGGTACCGTTAAAGGTTATTCAGAAGGTTTCAGCAGCGGTGATTGAAAACTCCATAGGAAATAATGCAGGTTTCTTAGCTCTAATAGCATTAGCCCAGAGCTCTGCTTAACGCTAACCTGAAGAAGATCCAACATGTTTACAGAGAAAAAGTACCAGAATTATGTTGCCTCTTGATAGATTGCAACATGGAAGATGCTATTTATATTCATTCCTTTTTGCATCTGCTTGTCTTCCTTTTTAATTTTGGAATAATATAGATATGATATGGAACAATTTAGACATTACAATAGTTTTTTCCCTAAGTACTGTACTTTAACTGAACAAAAATAATCATATTTCAGCTTTCCTTTTGGTCACCGGTTGGAACTGATTTTGATCAAAATGATCTTAAGATGAAGCTAATTTGTGCTATTTTTAGGTATAAAATGGAAAAGAATTGGAATTTTTATTTTTTTTTACCACTTAAGGGATCTCATGATCTTTGAATTATGTATTTATTTTAACATTTATTTAAATTATGGCAGCAAAATATAGAAAACATCTTTTCTCTTTCCTTTGAGCAACTTAAATAAGCTAATTTCACTTGGTTCTATTACAAACATTAGATATAGTCTAAAAAATCAAAAGGTTTCAGTTCTAGCTTGTTTTCCCCAGTTGATGTTATGATGTATAATAGTTTCAAAAGGATAACTCACTTTAAAGCTTGCAGACTGACATTGCCTCTCTGACTGTTAGATTGCACTGCTGAAGATCCTGCTCGCTGCCGCCCCGACATCTAAAGCTAAAACCGACTCCATTAACATCCTGGCAGATGTTCTGCCGGAGGAGATGCCGTAAGTAAACTGAACACTGAAATCATCAGACCTGACTGATAGAAACCTAGATATCAGCGGGTTTTTGCAACACTTGGGTAGTTAAATTAATCTCCAATGACTGGATAATATAAGGATATATTCTTTGTATTAACAAAAAAGCTACAACACTGAACATCTGTTGCAGTTTGGTTGATTGATGCTCGTCTCATTGATACAACATGCAGTTAGTTTATGTTTTAGATTGAGGGATTGACTTGATTTTCTTTTTCTAATCTTCCACCTGTCTTTGTGCAGGACGACGGTTCTGCAAAGCATGAAACTTGGCGTTGATGTGAATCGCCACAAAGAAATAATTGTTAAAGCCATCTCTGCCATCCTGCTGCTGCTTCTAAAACACTTTAAGCTGAACCACATCTACCAGGTGAGAAAACCTCTGGTTTTTGTGAAAATGTCTGATAATTAGATCTATAATTATAATTATGTCTTTATCTGAAGGGATAAAAGCTTGTATTTGTTTCATTTTTTGTAAACAGTTTGAGTTCATGGCTCAGCACCTGGTGTTTGCCAACTGCATCCCTCTCGTCCTGAAGTTTTTCAATCAGAACATCATGTCTTACATCACAGCTAAAAATGGGTACCATTAACTTTCCCTTATTTTGAAGTAAACATCATTCCTTTGGACCGGAAGCCTCTCAGAACATTGCTAGAGTTGATTTCCTTGCTTTCTTATCAGCATTTCAGTGCTTGACTTTCCTTACTGTGTTGTCCATGAGATGCCCGAGTTAACGGCTGAGAGTTTGGTGAGTTTTCTGACTCCAGCTGCAGCTTTGACTGTTAATTTCAGAGCATTTAGCTTAACTTTGATCGATTTTTGTCTCAGGAAGCAGGAGACAACACCCAGTTTTGCTGGAGGAACCTGTTCTCGTGTATTAACCTGCTCAGAATCCTGAACAAATTGACCAAATGGAAACACTCCAGAACAATGGTGAGATGGCAACATCGCGCAGAGCTCATTCAGGCAATACTTTCAAGCTACATCCTTCTCATAAGCTCTTCTTCAACAGATGTTAGTGGTGTTTAAGTCTGCTCCCATCCTGAAGAGGGCGTTAAAGGTCAAGCAGGCCATGATGCAGCTCTATGTCCTCAAACTGCTCAAAGTGCAGACCAAATACTTGGGGCGTCAGTGGAGGAAGAGCAACATGAAGACCATGTCTGCCATCTACCAGAAGGTGCGACATCGTCTCAACGATGACTGGGCTTATGGAAATGGTGAGTTTAATGGGTTTCTGTGTCAATACTCCATCTCCTTCAGTATAAAAAAAAACAATGTGTAGATTAAATTTTGCTGTCAGCTTTAAGATAAATAAAAAAATTCTTAGTGTTGCGTTGAGCATTATTAGACCTAAGTTGTTTGACACCTTTGTTTGAACAGATCTGGACGCCCGTCCCTGGGACTTCCAGGCTGAGGAGTGCGCTCTTCGGGCCAGCATTGAGCGCTTCAACAGTCGTCGCTACGACAAGAGCCACAGTAATCCAGACTTCCTTCCTGTGGACAACTGCCTGCAGAGCGTCCTGGGGCAGAGAGTGGACCTTCCAGAGGACTTTCAAATGAACTATGACCTTTGGCTGGAGCGCGAGGTCTTCTCCAAACCTATTTCCTGGGAGGAACTGCTGGAGTGAGGCTCAACTGCTGCAAAACCTAGTTTACCTTCTTAAATAAACAGTTTGAACCAGATCAAACTCTTTATGCAGCATTCCGATACATGCGCTGACGGTTGGATTTCCCTCTGAGATCAGCTGGTAACTTTGTGGTTTTATAGGTTGTTCAAGCCTCAAACAAAGTGCTTTCTGACCTAAACCTTGGCCTTTAAGACATTTAGTATTAAAGTGAATCCTGATCAAGAAAGGGACAAATTTGACAAAGGCGAGTTTTTTTATATTAAGGTTCCTCAAAGCTTTCCCCTACATTGGTCACATTTTATAAATGACTCTGATAATGGTTTTCCTCAGAGCTGCAGGTATTTCTCCATGTGCCTCTCACCTGCCTGGATGGGCTGGTAAATCTGCTGGAAGCACTACATGACAGATTTTAATTGAAGCATTCATAGTAACCTTTCTGTGTTAATGCTTTAGTTTAGGAACAACGGACCAGACTTTATACGTACTTAGCTCTGCTCAGTACGTATAAAGTCATCAGACATCTCTGACCAACAGGCTGAACCAGAAGTGGCTCAAAACTTTTACCCAAAAATCATTTGTTACTGTCTGTCTGACAAACATATTTCTGACTTCACTCCTCAAGTAGCTTATTTGAACTGAAATGGAAACTTAATTTCATGTTATTAAAGTTTAGTTGTTTTTTTGTTTATAAGGGTGGTGAAGAAAATATAGATGGGTGTAAATTGTGCAACATATTTATCATGACTCTTTGTTCTACATGGATTAAAATATAATAAAATTGTACCATTGCTTATTTAAACCTTTTTTTAAGAGATCTTTTCTGTCTGTAGCAGAGAAAAAGAACTTGCAGCCACTGTGCTGCATATTTGATGTTACCTGCTGCCAGAGATGGGAAGTAACGAAGTACAAATACTTCGTTACTGTACTCAAGTACATTTTTCTGATATTTATACTTTACTTTACTACTTATTTTTATGGCGACTTTTTACTTCTACTCCTTACATTTTTACACAAATATCTGTACTTTCTACTCCTTACATTTTAAAAAATTGGCTCGTTACTTTAGTTTTGAATCATTTCAATGGAGTTACCGTTATTATTTTTCACGTCATCAATACCAAATTCAATCTAATTGGATGGGAATCTACGTTGCATTTGACGCACCACTACAAGATGAATCGACAGATTCGGCGGTATTCATTGGCGGCAAATCATTGCAGCTTGGTGGCGGTGGCGTTAGCATAGTAGCATGGATGATGAGATGATTGAAAATGAACACAACGTAGATCTAGTCCTATTGGCAGACATCCATTTAAAATGTAGGCAACGGCATGAAAAAAGTGGTTTCTACTTTTACACTTTTTTTTTTTTTTTTTTTCATTCTTCAACTCTTTATTTAGTCTTTTTCATAATACAAAAACAAAAGAAAAAACAAGAAGAAAAAAACAAAAAACAAGCTGGGGGGAGCATCCGTTGCCATATTTACCAAAGTTTTTTTTTTTTTTTTTTTTCCCTCTTATGGTTTGGTTTTGGCCTTGAACATTGACCACTTCTGCCATTTTTTCTCAAAGTCACCTTCTTTAAGGCTCAGACGAAAAGTCAAATTTTCCATGGTGTATAGTTCATCTACAATATTCAGCCATTGTCCATGCCCAGGTGGGTCACGTTTCAACCAATTCCTTGTCAATGCCTTTTTGGCAGCAATCAGTAATATTTTGCAGAGGTAAATGTCTTTTTTTCCAATGACTTCATATGGCATAAGTCCTAGGTATACAAAGCTCGGATTTCGGGGTATAGATAAGCATAAAATTTCCTCTACTGTCTGAATGACACTGTTCCAGAATAGCTGCAGTTCAATGCATGACCAAAAGATATGGGAGTGATTGGGATCTACATGTCCACACCCTCTCCAGCATTTCTGTTGTTGCCTAAGTTGTTTTGATTTTATATATGGGGTGATAAAAAAACGAATTAGATTTTTCCATCCAAATTCTCGCCATCTTCTTGAGTTGGTTGAAGATTGTTGTGTTTTACACATGGAGGACCAGTCACTCCCAGTTAATGTAATGTTGAATTCTTGTTCCCACTTTTCTTTAACATAGAATGAATTTCTGCCATCGCATTTTTGGAGACTATTATACAACTTTGATACAATTTTTGAGGGAGTTCCACCATATGCACGTGTCAAGATTATAATCACCTCACTAATTCCTTCTGATAGGTCCCTGTTAACCTCTTTGTCGTAAAAGTGACGCAATTGTAGGTAGCGATATAGGTCTCTGTTTTCAAGATTGAATTCTTCTTTAACTTTTTCAAATGATTTAAATATTTTCCCTTCAGTGAGTGTACATATTGCCGTAATTCCCCTCTCCATCCACCTGATAAATGTATCATCTGACCCACTGGGGCCAAAACTGGGCATTTGAGATGGCCATATTAATAATTTACTATCACCTTCAATTTTGTTTTTCTTAACGACCTCATACCATGTTTTCAAAGTTTCGCCCAGAATAGTTCCCTCCTCTTTACTATCTATTAAAATTTTACACCCCAATTTTGCAGGAGGTGGTATTTTACCAAGATTGAATTCGATTTGCTTCCACTTTGCGCTATATGTTGGAGAACACCAATAAACAACGTATCTCAGTTGGGCCGCCCAGTAGTATTTTTTAAGGTCAGGTAAAGCAAGTCCTCCTTTTTCCTTTTCTAACTGGAGTGTTCTGAGTCTTACCCTAGGTTTAATACCCGCCCAGATAAATCTAGATAAGACCTTATTCCATGTAGAAAATTGGGTTTCTGGGATCCTTATGGGGAGGGAGAGGAAGACATATAATAATCTAGGCAGCAAATTCATTTTTATCACCTCTATTCTTGTGCTAAAATCTAAGGCCAACATTGACCAACGTGTTACATCTTTCTGAATTTGATCACTTAGAATACCATAGTTTGACTCATATAGGTCTTTTAGATGTTGGGTGATATTCACACCTAAGTATTTTATTGATTTTGTGTCCCATTTAAGTTTATAATTACTCCTCATATTACTGCTAGGTGTATAATTCAGACATAGTACCTGTGTCTTTTTAATATTGAGTTTATATCCTGACATCTCACCAAAATTTTCCATAATGGAAAAAAGTTTAGGGATTATTATGTTTGGGTTCTTTAAGTAAGTGATAATATCGTCAGCAAACAGGCTTATTCTATGTTCCTCTGTTGCTATGTTGATCCCCTCCAAATGATCATTTTGTCTAATATCCTGAGCCAATGGCTCAATGAATAATGCAAAGAGGGAAGGACTAAGACAACAGCCTTGTCTTGTACCTCTTTTAAGGTTAAAGCTACCAGACAATGAGCCATTAATCCGCAACCTGGCTGTAGGATCCCCATAAAGAGCTTTAATACAGCTAATAATTTGATCATTGAAGCCAAATGTCTCCAGCACTTTATAAAGAAAAGGCCAGCTAACTCTATCAAACGCCTTCTCTGCATCAAGGCTAAGCAACACTGCACTGAGCTTTTTTTTGTGTATTTGATCTATGACATGCAGTGTGCGTCTGATATTATCTTGGGTTTGCCTGCCCTTTATGAATCCAGTTTGGTCTTCATTTATTAGCTCAGGGAGGATATGCTCCAACCTTTTAGAGATTATTGATGTGAATATCTTGTAATCTACATTTAGTATGGATATGGGGCGATAAGATTCGCATAGTGTTTTATCTTTGTCTTCTTTTGGTATCACTGATATCACTGCTTCTTTCCATGACGGGGGTACTTTGGCGTATTTGAGATTCCAATTCAGAGATTCAAGTAGAGTGGGCGTAAGGTCCTCCTTGAAGACCCTGTACCACTCATTTGGAAAGCCATCGCTCCCTGGGCACTTATTATTTTTCAAATTACTAATGGCTTTATCCAGTTCTTCCTTTGTAATCGGAGTGGTCAAAGACTCATTTTGGACTTGTCCAATGGAGGGAAGATCCAAGGATAATAAATATTTTTTGATCATCACTTCATCTACAGGGTCTGGATTAGAGTATAGTGTCATATAGTATTTTTTGAAGCAGTTTTCTATTTCTTCAGGTTTAAAAGTCAAATCTTTACTCAGTGGGTCCCTAATCTTCGATATACAATTTTTAGTTTGTTGTATTTTCAGGCGTCTTGCTAGAATCTTTGTTGCTTTCGGACCTGATTCATAAGTGGTTTGTTTAGCATATCTAAGTTTCCTTTCTAATTCATCTGACAGTGTTGCATCTATTTGTTTTCTGACATCCTTCAATTGTTCTGTTAGCCTCATATTATTAGCTGTTTGTTGTTGTTTTTCTAACTTTTTCAGTTCTTCCTGTAGTTTTTCATATTTTAATCTCTTTGCCTTAGTTATGTATGCCATCCGTGAAATCAAGTTCCCTCTCATAGTGGCTTTAACTGTGTCCCATAATATTGTTGGGTCAACCTCACTATTTATATTATCTTTAATACAATTTCTAATTTCCCCTTTAATTTCATCCATAGTTGTTTTGTTATTCAAAATCCCAATATTCATTCTCCACAGTGTGTTTTTACGAGCACTATCTAAGTGTATAGTTAAATAAACCGCATTATGGTCAGAGACATCAGAGGTTCCTATTGTACATTCTATCACCCTATGTCTATCCCCCGCACTCATCAGGAAATAATCTATTCTAGAATGAATCTGATGTGTAGCTGAAAAATGGGTAAAGTCTTTCTCTGAAGGGTGGAGATTCCTCCAGACATCAAACAGGTTATATTCTCTCAGTAAAACATTGAGGCATTTTGACATAGGCAGTTTATGCTGTTTTTTGCTTGTTGTGTCTAAGGAGTAGTCCAAGACTGTATTCCAGTCTCCTGCATAGACTATTATACCCTCACTGAATCCGACAATTTTTTCAAAGAGCTGTATAATAAAATTTTTTTCACATTCCGGAGGTACATAAACACAAGCAAATGTGATTAATATGTTATCAAGTCTTCCCTTAACTAAAATGTATCTGCCTTCCTTATCTCCTTCTTCCTTAATTAGGTCAAAATTCAGCGTGTTTGACATTAGAATAGCCACTCCCCTTTTTCTGCTATTTTTACAGGAGCTGTAAAAAGAGTTTGAATATCCAAACCTCCTTAGCTTATTATGTTCTTTATTAGACATATGCGTCTCCTGAAGCATTACAACCTCTGATTTATCCTTTTTTAATTTTCCCAACACCTTGCTTCTCTTAATTGGATTTCTTAGGCCATTTACATTCAAGGATGTGATCTTTAAATTACCTGGCTTTGGCATATAAATACTTCTAATGAAACATTGGTCTCCCCCAGAAAAGTATGTACTTTCACAAACACAATGAAATAACATAAATAAACACAACAGAACAGTGACTCCCAAGAGTGGAAGAGATCTAACTCTTCCAGGTGGACCCAGTTGGAGGGTCGAGGGTATAGTCTCTCCTCTAGAGAGGGCCCAATACTAGAGATGGTAATCAATTTTAACAAAAGAAATAACACCATCCTATAAGTCCAACTTAATAAAGCTACGATTGCTATCTCTCCCCCTGATCAAAAAATGAGGTCAAATGATTAATTAGTTAACAGGCGAAGTCCGACAAGGAAAAAGCTACCTCACCAGAATGTAGTAAATTTACAAGAGAGCCTCAGCTGTTCTCCTCTGCGTCATCTCTCTGAAACCCCTTCAGTTTCTCCCTCGCTCTCTGCGCCGTAGAGTTACTCCTCTCCTGATGATCTGATCTCCGCTCCCATCCGAGAAGCTCCGACAGTGCGGCGTCCAGCGCA